ATATTTACTTAATTGGAGCGAATTAGTACCTATTAACTTTTGGAGCGAGTTAGTACTTAATTGGATCGAGAAGTCATAGATGATTTATTATGATATAAGTGCATAAATTTTCAGATTTTTGTGTTATTCTTATATGCTATTTTCATGTTGAAAATTTATGAAGAAGCAAGAATCTTTAGAAATACATTTAGATGTTTATTTCATTCTTATGCCATGCTTTACATTTAAGGATACCAGCATGAGCATGTACATGATGTTCCAAAAAGAAAAGATTTAGACTTGAAAAGTCAAAGGAAGAAGTTTTAGAAAGAAAAGATTTTTGGGAGTATATATTGATACAATTCTGGTGCTTGATTAAGATGAGAGCAAGAGAGGTGTCCTTGTTGTTTCTTAACTTTTGGCTTTTATTGTCTCCAGTGACGGAGCAACGGAGCGAGGATTTTAACTTTGTGGGTTTTGGATTTTAAAACGACGACTTCAACCGCTAATAACTTTGTTCTAAATTCAATATTTGTACATATGTAATATAATTTTCTTAACATGTGCCGTATTTTAAAAATTCAAATAGCCAAGTGTCCTTTATTTTACAAATGTGTTATCTATTTCTAAGTGGCTACTATGCATGTGGGAAATTTCACAAGTATCTTTGGTGTATTTCAATATCCAGCATGTGAAATCCTTTCTTTTGGTTTTGTTGTAAGTAGCATAAGCCAAGTACCAAGTGGCAGAGGAGACATAGCACTTGTCTCAAGCAATTGCCATTATTGAGCTTATAAATAGGCTTTCAATTTCTACGGATGAAACACCAAGAAAAGCTAATAATTAGGTTTGAATTACTACTTGCTCTCTTTCTTTCATTCCAATGTTCTTTTTGTGTCTCCACCTTTTTCTATCTTCAATATATACTATTTGTTTCTTTTAACAACTTGCTGGTATATTAATTTTGCAGATTCCTGTATCCTCTAAGAGATAGGCTTGTTTAATCCTGGGGAACCATTTCACATTGCTGAAATAGGTTTTTAGGACTGTGTTCAGCACGACTCAAGCCAATTCGTGTATCTGCTTACAAATAATATTATTGCAGTTATGTTGTAATTTCTCCGTGTCATTTCCCTACATAACACAAATATAATGTTCGAGCAAAAGCTACTGGGTGGAGCCGAGCCTGTAGTCGGGCTTCTAGCTCCGCCCCATATTGTTCCACACCAAATTATTCTGGTTATGTAATCAACTCTGCTTTGATTTGAACTCTAGGCAGCTGCATACAAAATTGTGAAAACTCACTTCACATAGCATGCATTTTCTGCAAGTTATTAGTAATAGATATTTCCTGTCAGGAAGTTGGACGCCTCCGTGGATAAAATAGTACATGACTTTGAGGCTGGGTGGGAGCCTGAAATGGAGGGATATTCGAGGAAGTTAGTGGAGTTTTGCTGCTCCAAGATCCTCATTGATATGTGTAGTGAATTAGAAGAGACGATCAGCGATGGTTCTTTTATCCGTTTCACATTTGATATGATGCTGGCATGGGAAATGCCTACTTCAGAAGAAGAAGAGATACATAAAGTTAATGTCCTTAGCTTTTTTACCCATCAGCTCTCTCTTATTTACAGTCTTCATGTGTTCAATGCTCCCTAATTTAATCACATCATTTGTTAGTTTGAATCAATGAGAGTTCTTTTTTCTTTCTATTTTTTGATAATTCCTTGTCAGCTGTAGCGGAAGTCCTACTATTTGTCAAATTTGAAAATGAGCGTGAATAAACGGTTCTAACTTCTTGTTTTCATTTTGTGTTGTCTCAATTAAAAAGCTTGCATCCCAATAGTTCCTCCAGGTTGGATTATCTGTAGATTAGGATTGTGATGAATCTTTTTGGAAAATCGAGGTGAAATAAAACATCAACTGCACACGATTATTTTAAATAGCGAGTAAATTTGAATTGGTCTGAAAATGAAGCATCTCAAGTCCATCCTACGGAAACATTACTATTGCTATTCTGCATCAAATGTAACAATTGCCATGCTTTTAACTGATCAAAAGCTTTGTTGATTATGTACTAGAATATTAAATCAAGCTAGTTAGAAGCTTTTTCAGTGTTACAGTTGGAACTCTAGTCAGAAGTTTGGCGTATGCTTTATTTTCTTGACGTTATCTGCACCTTATTTACATGTCTTTTCTAAATAATACAGGAGTCGTTGGCGAAAGAAAAAGAAGACAAAAAAGTGGTCTCTGTGATGCCTCAGGAACAAGATGACATCCCTTTGTTCTACTCAGATATCTTGCCGTTCCTTGTAAGATATCTGGATCCTTGAGTTAGAACTGTGCTTTTTTACAGTAGCAAATTGGAACAAGTAATTGATGCTTTACATATTTCTCTTTGGTTGCTTATGTGTATAGTAGTACAATGTTACCACTCAACTTATTTTTTTTTTTTGAAATGGAGTTACCACTCAACTTATGATGATAACATACTTAGATGGAAGCTTGGACGTCATTAGTTTTCTTTCACTGCATTTTACTATCCTAACTGAAAGTGATTGGGTTCGCAGGTTAGCCATAAACCAAGTGCTGGAGAGGATGCTTTCTTGTGGCTGTCGACAATTGTACATTTAGTAGCTGATGTTGTTAATGGAAGATTCACTTTCGAGACTCTGACAGCGCCTACAGAAAATCGATTGCATTTTCCGGCTTATAACTTATTTTTGAAGGAGATCATAAAGTAATTTTCCTAGATCCTTGCTCTCCCTCTATTAGTTGGTAGATTATTCTGGTGAAGCTGTAATTCCAAAATGGACTCACAACCAATGACAAATTAAAGGGCGCAATAGGCACAATGTCGCTGGTTCCAAGGATGGATTTTGAGATAAGAAGTGTACTTTAGAATTCTACCGTCATGAAGGAATTTCTAGTGAAGAAGATATTTCCAAAAGCTCTTACATGCTAGGATCAAGAAGAGTTATTTATGTCAGTTTCAAGAGAGTTTAGGTTATCCACCTGAATTCTTTTTTTCTTCTTTTTTCGCTTTTATTGGGGAGGGGCAAGGGAGGTCGTGTGATGATGCTGTTGCTTAAAATGCAAATTTATAACAAAGGCAACCCGAAAATGGAGAATATTTCTTCTAGCAGAAATATGTCATGTTTCTGAAATTATTTCCTTGTCGCTCATTTTTAGTCAAGCTTAACTCTAGATCTCATCATTTTTGTTGCAATTTCTTGTGTCTGTCGATTTTCAATAGGTGCATAAAGCATTTGCAAAAGCAAGCAACTCCAACTGGTGTGGACATGGCAGATGACGAGGTTATACTACATGTGGAAGGAACTGCAAGTTCACAAAGAGTAGTGCGCCATATTGGAGGGACAAGTTGGCCTGGTACTCTTGCCTTTATTCTGCTTTTGCATTGTTATGATTCCTGGGATTGTAACCTAAGGTTATACCATTTGTAGGTAGGCTGACACTAACAAACTATGCACTTTACTTTGAGGAATCCGGAGTCATCTCTTATAAAGATGCTATTAAGCTCAGTCTTTCAGAAGACTTCGAGCAGAGTGTCAAACCTGCTGCTACAGGTCCATGGGGTGCTCAGCTCTTTGACAAGGCCATAGTTTATGAATCTTCTGAATTGTAAGTTTTTTCTCTACATCCTATAAGATCATGTTTTTTAAGGCTTAAATTTTAAGTACTCCGCACTTCCTTCAGGTTAGTATGGATAACGTTGGCATTATTTATTTTCAACGTATTTCAAGGATTGCTGCTTGAAGGCTGAGTTTTGCTTGTAATATACTGATTTAATGTGGGGTATTTTACAATTTATTAGGAGCTTGTATATTTGCTAAATTGTGTATGTTTATGTGGCTTCAAGAACCATGTTTGTGTAAAATGATGTCAATAGCAGTATGAGAATTTACTTTTGGTGTTGTATTTGTCAAAATTTAGGGAAGAATCGGTTGTCCTGGAGTTCCCAGAAATGACAAGCTCAACAAGGCGAGACCACTGGCTTGCTCTAATAAAGGAGGTTATATTGTTGCATCGGTTTTTACGTAAGTTTAAGGTTGATTCACCTTCAGGATCACAGGAGATGCACGCGAGAACAATACTAGGAATTATAAGACTTCATGCAGCTAGAGAAATGCTTAGGATCTCGCCACCAATTCCCAAGAATTTCTTGATCTTTGATTTACTTGATGAGTTGCCGAAGGGAGATTATGTGCTTGAAGAGCTTGCAGAGAGTCTGAAGAAAGTTGACATTGGACACAGATGTAGTGCTAGCTCAATCTTGAGAAGCCTGAATATCTCCCTCTTACCGGTTCCAAGTGAAGCGGCAAAAGAAATCGACGACAACAGCCGCCTTCCAGTCCAAAATGAAAGCGTCTCATCGTTGGAGAGTGCTATTGATCAAGCAAGAGAGGAAGCAAAGGAAATTGAAAAGGCCAAAGCTACTGTTGAGGAGCTGAAAGGGGAAGGAATGGGGAACAGTGTCCAGGTTCTTATGGTAAGTGCTGCTGGTTGATTCCAGAAACTGCATGCATATCATGTCTCCTATAGAATTATAAATTTAGGGAAGGTGAAAAAGAGAGAAAACAGGTATACATAACCAGCACTGAAGCTTGAGAACCATTGTTTGTTAGAACTCCATATCACCTTATATTAATTGAAGATTTTCTGAATATGCATTAACACTAGGCTGCTGCATTGTTTCAAAAGCCTAACGAAATGTCTTTGTTTTATCAATACTAATTAGGGTCTTCTCAAACCGTTCGGGAGGTTAGTGCCTTATCTTCAAGAGGTATTTTCATGGGAAAGACCATTATGCAGTGGTATTTTTATGCTGACAGCGCTTCTAGTTATTTACACGTAAGTATCTTAATTCTTGCTACGTTATTTATCTTAATTGAAGAAATTGGACTGTGAAAACCTGGAAAAGACTAATGGATGTTTGCAAATGTAGAGAGTGTGTTGGCAAAGCAATATCAGCTCTCTTATTGGGGACAGTTGCTACAATGATATGGGCAAGGCAAAGAGGGATAATAGACAAGGCAAATAAAATAGTTATCTACACTGGATCTGATCAGACGACGATAGAAAGTATAGTGTCAGCACAACACGGACTAAGAAATGTCTATGACTTGGTTCAGAGCATGAACATAATACTACTGAAAATCTGGTCCATATTGGTTTCAAAGGCTCCAAAGGTACCAACTGTTCTAGCTGATATTCGTTTAGGAACATATAACGAAAATGTTAATGGAGTCATCTTTTGTAATTCTTTCCTAAACTTTGTCATAACAGATGACCTGGATCCTTTACTANGTAAATTTATTTCTTGTGTCTGTATAATATGTTAGTTTTGAAGTTATATCAGTGGATGTGTTCGTGATATCATAACTATTACAAAGTAAATATTACTGCTTATTCATTATTGTGCTGAGCTAGTTCGGACCGAAGGATCTATTTAGTACTACTAAAGTTTGATATCTATTATTACTTCCGTCGTTCCAGTTCATGTGAACGTATTTTCTTTTTGGTCCATTTAAAAAAGAATGATCCTTTTTTAAATTTGGAAATAATTTAGCTTAAACTTACAATTTTACCCTTAATGAGGAGCTTTTATGACTACACAAATACTATGGGGTTCTTTTTGACTTGTTTAGGATCATAAATTTCAAAAATATTCATTTTTTCTTAAACTCCGTTCCCAGTCATAAATTAAAACGGAGGGAGTAAATTTAATTGAGAAAATCTTACTTTATACCCATTAATTCCAAATTATTTACCCTTAAATATTCAGGCC